TCGTTTCATGAGCTTTTCTCGGATTCGGATTCGCATTAACACAACGCCATTGAATAGTCAGTCAATCATTTCCCAATAGTTCTGAACGAAAAAGTGTTTACCACGTTATATTCACATTCATCTTCTACATCGTATTTGAATGTTACAAGTTTGCAAAAAAAAAAAAACGATTGTTTGTTTTTCCGTCCCGGCCGTGGGTCGAATGGATTCAATGCATTCGCCTCGAGTAAGGGAGCAAGTAAAAACTTATGGCGACATTCGTATTTCATTCGAGTTTCATTCGAGCTCTGAAAAGTTCAGTTTGAACAATGGCGTCACGCGTGGATTAACATTGAACGTCATATTCTAATGAGGAAGTGTCTCGATTTAAGGTGCAGCAAATGAGACACATTTTGCAACATGTTGTATTTGTGTCTGATCATATATAAATTCGATGCCACTATTGCACGGCCACATACTTCACTGCAATCCGATTCGTTTGCTTCTTTCATTTCCATACATACAACAAGTGTGCTATAGTCGCTGCATTTTATTTCTCCAGGTTTTTGTTTTTGAAGAGAGTGCTTTAAACACAATACCTTTAATCCGCAACATCTTTGGTTATTTCATAGCGTTTTCCCCCAATAATATCGTTGATAATCGCTCATAACAAAGTGACGCTTTTTTTTGTTTATGTTCCTCTGTCAAATTCAGCGACTTCTTTATGCTTGAGTGCGGCCAATGCGGCTACTGCCTGTCTCTTCCTTCTTTTTTTCTTTTTAAAGGACTGAGGCCTTTATATAGTGGGATCTATATATTCGGTGCATTAATAGCTCGCATGGCACATGAAAAAGAATTTAAGATTAAAGATGAAATAGAATGCTTTCACTTTCTTTACGATTTTCAATAGATTTTGATATGGAAAACAAAAGCTTTTTACATACTTAAAACAAGTGCTGTGGAAGCGATCACAAAGCTGGTTCGGTTTGAAGCATTTTCAATAGCATTCGTCGTTGCCCCGAAACAGGTCGGTATAGCAAATTCCATTTGAGTATCACAAAATGGACGACCTACAGATTGAACACAAGATTACGGACAGACGGACATACAAGTTTAGGTCAATTCAGAAAATAATTTTCCCGTCCATTTCAAGTCTTCCTGGGTCTTGTATACGCCCGCGCAAACTTAATCCACCCTTGCACCACAAGCGGCATACGCTATAGTTTATATTTATAAATGTATTGTCACAATTTTGGGTGCAAAACGTGATTGTAAATGTTTTAATTAAACAGTAAAAGAAGTGTGTTCATTGATATGATTTACTGCTTTCGCAGATATACCAAAAGCCTTTGTATATAAAAAAACAAGAAAACCCGTTTGGTATAGAAATGGGAGCATTCCAATTAAAAACCCTTTTTTTTACTCAATTTCGACTTTGAAATTTAGAGGCTTGCAGTACAAAGCATTCTTCTTTGTAAGCGAGAGGAATACTGAAGCATACCTTAAGGCTCTCGGTTTTAGTGCAATTTTGCACAAATATTCGCGCCAAGATTCTTCGCCAATAGGTGTTGCGTTTAGAACCCTAGCAGGTGTAGAATGAATGTGCGTGTGGGCATAAAAAGAATAGAACTTTCCGTCGCTTTTATGGCCAAAATATTGCCTCCCAAGAGATAGGAATTTTTGTCTATTGGAAAATGAGAAACAAATTAGCGTCTTTTGTTCGTCTTACCGTTGTCAAGAAAAAAAAAAAAAAAGAGTAAAACTATATAAAAATCTGTAAACTAAAATTTTCAATTTAAAAACAAAAAAAATCTTAAAGTTTAATTTATTTCATTTTGTCGTTTCTCATCTATCAAAACTTACGATTTTTTAAGCTTTCAAATGGTTTCATTGCAATTTGCGGAACAAATGGAATCAACTGAACGAATGGCAAATGAAAGGAGAAAGAAACATATTCAAGTTTACTCATATACATGTGCATATATGAGCAGTTGCTTTTCATTTAAATCCAACTATTTAGTTCTTATTAGAGAATGAGGATCATTTTCAAAAAAAAAAAACAAAGGAAGGTTGGAATGACTTGGGTTGTCTTTACTGAACAGTGATAGTCGCAAAGGCTGCGACTTACGAAAATTTATTAATAAACTTCACGCACAATTATAGACTAATTTTAGGCGAGATTTTGTATACATTTCTAGACAGAGGTAGGTAGGACTACTCGCGACTACCAAGTCAGTGTTCACGGGCTCAAATCTGAAGCGTGGTTGATTTTATACACTTTCGCCTGGAGGGGGCTACCGCCGCCGTATTTCTTTTCCTTAGCACCTTCAAGTAATCCTCGTTTTGATTTCTAATCCCTTCGGGTTTTTTCTTTTCAACACTTTCCCAAATAAACTGAAATAATTTTATTTGATTTTATGTGTAAGTGTGTGATTTTTTCGGAACTTTGGTTCATTTCGATTTGCTTTGGTTTGTGTTTTATTTTTATTTTCAGAAGCTTTTTTAGAAGCCTCTTATCCTTTTTTTTTTGCAATGAAATGGAAACTGCTTCTCAATCTATTACAATCACACCCGTGGTTCTTTCTTCTAGTCTTCACGCCTTAAAGGCCATTTAATTCCATACAAATGATATGAGGATAGTTTACTTGATTCCCCAAAGTTCCCTAATAAGATATAAATATAAATCTAACAAAATATATAAACAAAATATAAATGGCACTAACACATCCAATGGTTGCTGCATAAAATTGATTGCACGGAATCTTCCTTTGTTTGCGAATAATCGCAGGGAAAAATTGTACATACATAAAATTACTTCAGATGCGAAAATGTTTTATTTTTGTATTCAGAAAATGTTATTAATGTTCCTTGGCAGGAGCTTAAAGAGGGCATTTTTTTTTTCTGAACTGCTAGTGTTGTTGTGGAAAGTTGGAAAAAAGCTCTGTTACTCTCACGTATCTACGAAGACACGTCAAGTTATTCATTGCTAAGGCTAAGCCACGGTAATCGCGTGGCGACCTACCTACCTATATGAGAAATATTCAGATTATTTGATACAAAAATCTATGCCGAGATTTCACTCTGCTTATAAGGGCTACCAACTCCAAGTATTTCTATAATATAATGTCGGTGATCACCATACGAGAGTTTTCTCTGATCAGTAATCAAAATTCATTCGCGCACCGTAAAGAGTAAGAATGAGACAAAAATATGGATATATTTCTTAATATTGTTACATATATATATATAGATATTCCAATTTTTGTGGTATCATAGTCCCCCTCCAAACATGTGTTCAACATTCCATCACGTTTGATGCATTTGCGAAATTTACAGGAAGCCAGAAAATAATAACATAAGACTTTCTTGAGAGGTTTCATAAAAAACATTAAGCCTCCATATTAGTCAGAGGTAATAGTTCTTCCATAGCACTTCTCGCAGTAATCGTATGACTTCGGTCAGTCTATAAAGAAGATATTTTAGCGGATATGGTCTGCGGGCAGAATGTCCGTTTAGCAGTGAAACTATAAAGAAAAATTATACAAAATGTACAGTCAGGTATCCAACATGATAAAGATTCCGATTATGTACGAACAATTAATAAATAACTTGCCGTTTATGCATAGTCGGTCTCGTATATCTTTTTACATAAAACTGGAACGAATTGAAAACAACACTTCACACGTATTAATCGTATTTTGTGTTTAGCAAGGAAAAGGAAAATCAATATTTCTTCTCCACTAAACCCTGGAATTAACTTTCAGGCGACAGGTAATTAGGTCGGGCTTTTCAAATCAAATATATTTCTTATATGGTTAACTAAGAGAGTATTATCTCGAACAATATCTATCTCAAAGGTCTTTTCAAAAATTGTTTACAAATTTGTTTTTATTATTATTATTATTATTATTATTAATTTCGCCAGAGAAATAAATTCTAAGACTAAACTCTTAAAAGCACTAGCATCTAAGGCTATCGGCTTTTATTAAAAACTCTACCGCACCTGAGATTCGAACCCACGACCATTGACTTGCTAGTCGAGATTCCTCGCCTTCGGCTACTCAGGCGGATAAAAAATTTGATTTTAAAATGAGGATATGCCGTTAAATCGATTTGTCTCAAGAAAAGATCGTCCTTTTGTTAAAGGAACAATTTCGTGGGAATTTTCCCAACAAGTTCGATATTTGGGTAACACATTAATAAATAATACAAGCTTAAGATATATAGTGGACGATGAAAGTCAGCCCACATAGGACAATAATTCGGAGATAGATTAAAGATAAAGCTGAACATATTATGGCATGGTGTGGATTGATATCACGTAAGGTACTGCAGTATGTTTGGTGGAATTAAAAGAGAATCGTGGATCGTGAGCTACTTCAGCCAGGCTACTTAGCCGATTGATTTCACTCTCTGTTGTCAACAACTAAAGAGGGAAAGCGTCCAGAATTGATCGAAAGAAAAGTCGTGAAAATCTCGCGGAATCGATAGTATAGATCGGTGCTCGTCCTATCCGACAATCGTTCGTTTTGTTCTCTACAGATCTTCCCTAATAGCGTAAAGCTGATTTTTTTAAAAAGAGCCCCGTGGAAATCATTTGACTCAGGTTTTCGAGTAAACATCCCAGAGAACACATACTCGTTTAATACCGTTCATATAAAATGTAAGTGTAATGCGTTTAAGTTTCAGTGAAAGAATGCTACGAAATCGTTCTCTTACCTAATATCAAGAATATATTGAATGTTGTTTGAGCATTGGCTGTGAGTATTTTTGAGCACATTTCCACTCCATTCTATATCGATCTAAAGAATGTTTTTTTTTTGTATTTATTAAATTCGAATCAACACTTAATTTTATTTAAATATTGCACATCCTTTTATTTTTTAAGTTAAAGATATACGTGAGTTAAAGGTTTATAATCTAGCATAAGTTTAGATTACATACTTAAGCATATGAAATGAGAAATATTATGTGTATGTACGATATTGGAGTATCAGCGAAGCATATGAAAAGATCATAAAAATTTTGATTGTAGTCAAGACCAAGATTCAAAAGAAAATAGAATGATAGACTTTCACTGTCTCCGCACCCAATTGATATCGATATGGAGTTTCTCCGAATTTGTGTTGTGATGCTTGGAGCTTCATTTCTTTTGGGGGGGAGCGTCGTAGACTAATTGTTTCACAGCGTGAGCATGATAGTTGAACGGTCTTTGAGTGATAGCCACTACAGCGTTGCGGTTTGATTCGACACTGGACACTGCTACCGCTGGACGGGATTCCTGTGAAAGTTGGGATCGTGCTTGAAAGTCCTGATGATAACCGGGTACTGAAGTTGGTGTGTATCGTTCATTGGGCTTAATAGACGGTAACGGATAGTTTTGGCTATAATCGTCACTGGCGTGCGCGGTGTTGTGTGTGAAAATGATTTTCGTGTGCGAGGAACGTGGATTGTTTTCGGCTGTTGGTAACGATGGATGTGAAATTGATTGGCCAACGCCTTCCTCAACCATATAAAATTGCTGTTCGCTGTCGTAATCGAATTGAGGTTGAGTCGTTATCGCTAACAGATAAGCTTGCTGATAATTGCGATTATCATGAACTTTAGGATGTGTAAACTGCTGTTCAGGTGTGGCGTAGAATGGTCGCACATTTGACAGATGATGGTGTTGTGGCGGTTGCTGCGCGTAATAGCCCTGGTTCGGAGTTGCATCATATTTATAACCTTCATAGTTATTAATATTTTCTGGTGTCGCAACTCCCTCCTGATCATGCTGTTGGCTTTGCTCGTAAGCTGCTTGTTGCTGTGCTACTGCTGCTTGATTTTTTACTTGGCTATAGTCGTCATGATGTTGTTGTTGTTGTTGTTGTTGTTGTGGTTGCTGTAATTGTAGCCGTTTTCTGTGCTCGGTTTCCTCCAAAATGTGCAAATATTGCGCCGCCCTTATCTCCAAATATTGTTGCAGTAAGGTTTTCAAATGGCTGGCATATTTGGGCGGACCCGGTATACGCAACACAATCACTGGGTCTTCGCCGTCCAAAACATTTGATGCGTGCGGCACATCTATGTGAGGTGCATGATTCGATTGTATAAACGATTCTGTTTTCAATTGATATGAATACGACGGTTCGATGGTAATGCTGTTCTTCTCGTCCTGTATGTAATAACTAGGGGCATCGGGTGGTATGTCTTTTTGCGAGTACGGGTAAAACATGAATTTTGGTGGAGTGTAATCATATCCATGCTGTGAATAGCCGTAACTAAAAACGACATGAGATCTCTTAACTGAACCGAAATATATAAAATAAAACAAAAAAAAATATATATATAAGGAAAAATTCACACCAAATACTGACCCCAAGTCTCCCTCTATCGTACGTTTACTGCTTTTATGGTCAGTGACATTGACATGCTCGATTTTAAATTTGATTTTCGCACCATGCAAGTGAAATTGTTTATCCAATTCTTTAATGAAAAGTAAATCTTCTTCGGGTAGGTTTTTAAATTTCTCGGTAATGTCGGCGGCTTTTTTTAACGAGGGCTTTATCAAACGTTTCTTCAAAACGGTCACCTTTTTAGGATATATTCCGAGCTTTTCTGTAAACTTATTAGATCCGTGCATCTTCACTTCCTCTATTGCTGGGACTTCTTGATAAATTTCAGTTACCAGCATTACATAGAAGCAGCTCTGCAATGATATTCGAAACATTACCCCTAATATGAATAATAAGCTAACAGATAATTATATCGATGAGTGCTCGATAGTCATAGATGATGTTAGAATGTATCGTGCTTCTGAAACACGGATTTTTTCTTTACCATACTGCAAGGATTTTCAAGTCCCACGATTTATATTTTTCTTGGGAATTTCCTCTGAAAGCCGAACAAATAGGTGCATTTGCGGCACGTAATGCTATACATGCGAATCGGAAGGCAGAAAACCCATTTTAGACGTCTACCTGTATCGTGATTCTGCTTTTTGAACCTCAGTACTTCAATACGATAATGCAGAATAATGGATGAGAAGACTGTTAAGAAGCTGAAAATCGATATTTCGACTACACTGTTTATGTATACGAGCTTAAAGAACGGAGGCCGTGTTTTTCGTGTGAAAGAAATGAGTGGCACCGTATCATCGGGGAGTGGTGATCAAAAAGCTTTTTAGATGGGTAAGTAACAGGAGGTAAGAAGTGATATTTATGCATCAACCTTTTAAACGTTAGAGGACCCGGAAAAAGGAGACTGAAATCACAGATGCCGTTGCGGCGATTGGTTTTCATTTCGGGCTACACCTACAATAGAAATATATTTCGATTGCGGTCATGATCTTGTGACGTGACTTTTGCCCAACAGACGCCTGTAACAATGCAAGACTTGCAACGCGATAAGTCTTTAGCTTCCACCGTCGTCTTCAGATATTACTCTCTTCGTTTATCATTTGCTTTGGCCTTTGCGGAGTGCTTTAAGTGGTGCAAGGCTGAATGTCGATAAAGCGGGACAACGACACCCTCATGAAATCTTTTGAAAAAAAAAACCAAACTTTTGTCCAAAAGTACATTGACGAACTTGTCGATTGTTAGCAGAAATTTGTAAAGAACAATAAAGACCGTAAGCTTAATCAATAACATGCAATAAATATTTACTTTAATATAACACCTGTTGAAGTTTATTGTTGAATCGAGTACGAGCTTATGCAATCCTACGACACTTTCGTATATGTGACAATAGTGATGACCCGTAGCGGCCCATACGTATAGTGCGCTTTAAGATAGACTTCACTTTGTATGCTAATAATGCAGTGAGCGTCAACTTTCAACTCTCAATATTGCGCTTACAGATCCGCCTTTCACAATTGCGAAAACATAGCGAACGAACAATTTGATGCAGGTACGTACTTAACGTTTAAATGTAATAGAAATTGGGGTTAGAAAATGATTACCCCTAAGTGCGGAGTTTCGAGAGGGTTTTTTTTGGAAAAAGCTTTGTTTTTAGCTTTGTTTTTTTTTTTTTTTTTTTTTCTTTTTATGCATACAAACACACGCATGCATAGTGTAATTTTATTTAATTTTATTTATCGTAAGCAGGAAGTGAACCGCCACAGGAGAACTTATATTTAGCTAACGGGATAACTGGCATTAATAATGTAATGGGCATTGTTTAATCAGGATGACATATATCTTTTTCATCGCACATGGCAAGTATGCTTTTGTTGTTGGGTAGTGGTTTTTTTTCTTTTTTTTTTTTTTCTGCCTTTCCAGCTGCATGCATTAACACTAATGTTGGTAAAGAGAAAAAAAAATGTGTGTTAGCAGTCAACAAAACGTACAAGCAAACATATGAGCGTGAATACATTTACAATGGTCCAAGTTAATGGATGAGTGCTAATCATTTGTATTTTGAATGTAAAGCTTCCTGCATGCCTTTCGCAAAGTTTTTCCCTTTTCTTTTTAGCGTTTTTTTTTGCAAACATCTATCTAGGAGTAAAGAAATCTGTAAAGTTATTTAAGAAATGATTATTAAAAGAGAAAATATTCTGGGTTTGAATACAATCTTGAACCCATTTTTATGTTGTTTGTCATTGAATTAACATATTTATTTATTTATTTATTTATTTTTTTTTTTTTTTTGTTCATACTTAAGTATGCTAACGATGCAGTCGGTTATGTAATTAATTTTCAAACATTAACATAACAACTTTTACATTTTCTCTCTTTACTCAATTAAACTAAACAACAACGTTTATTAAAAGCCATAAATGTATGAAAAATAAATGTTTTACAAACACATTTACTTCATAATGATAGTTTTGACGTGAATGAGTTAACCGAGTGCCAACAAAAAGGTGCAGAAAGACAGACGTGTGTTTTTTTTTTGTTGTTGTTGTTTGTAACATCACATAACAATGAAGCGGCCCAACACATCTTATTCATGCAATCAATCGAGAAAACATTTCACTACGTACGAGCACAAAATAGTGTACAATTAATATAAAAAAAACTCCTTTAATAAGACTTAGTCTTCCTTTGTTTATAAGAAAAGGTAGGAAAAAAACACACAAACTAATCTCTTAACAAATTAAAAAAAACGAGAAACCAAAACTGGAAGACTTTCGATACTATCATCCATCATCTCCATTGTTGTAAAAATAAACCGAAAAAACAAAAAAAAAAAATTAAATATTCAGTGAAATAAATTTGCCTATGAATAGATGCAAGCAAGCGCTAGCGGATTTTCGCAAAGCTCTTTGATTGAAATATTTCTTTGCCAAAGACCTGCTAGAAAGTCGAGAAAATAGATATCACATCTTTATATTAGATGCATGCATTAATTTTCGCCAGCGACTTTTACAGGTAAAAACGACAAAGTAATGAGAAATATTAGTCTATACGATTGCCACCTTTCTCTCACGTTATTCATTCAGTTAGTCAGTGTACACAGGTGTCGTCGACATTTATTACTTTCATTGCTTGTTAGAAAAAGAAGAAGAAGAGTTTCCTGTGAGTGGCAATGAAATGTGGCTCTATCATGGGTTAATCCTGGAGTGCCATCTACATCGACACGGAAGCACAGTATTCCAGGCCATAACGTTTTGCTTTGCATAGGGTGGAATCAGCAAGGTGTAATATGCTACGAGCCGTTCTGCAGATCTCCACTGACGTCAATTGAACCAGTTGAACGATGTACTGTTGCAAAAAAGTCCAGGACTAGCTAAATAGGCTGGCCTACGAATTGACTGAAAATGCCATTTTGGCCACTTGTTGCAAGTATTGTCAACGCTACACTGTTATAGCTCGAATGGGAAGTTTTGCCACTCCTAGTGTACTAGCGCCAGACATGCCGCCTCCTGATTACCACTTGTTCGGATCGATACAGCATGGCTTGGCTGGCACGCATCTTCGCCAAGTTAAAGAAGCGAGAAAATGGGTCGATCATTGGATCGCTGCCAAACTAATGGAAACAAGTTATAGAAAATGATGGAAAATGTTTTGATGAATATGTATTGTACAAATTGTTCTCAATAAATGCCTTCTTCAAGATACGAAATGGCCAAAATTAATGCAAACACCTGTTATATAAGCTGTACCTTTGTTCTCCGACCATTACATTTGACCATAGAAATCCGATTTGTTGTATTAAAAGTAGAGCGTAACTTTTCCTTATCAAAATGCAAAAAGGAAAACAAAAGAGAGATTTTCCACAATTCCCCAGGAACTTTGTTGTGCAATCGTTAGTGAAGTTATTGCATCTTTCTTTGTAAGCTGAACTGCCCGACAAAGCGATTCCTTATAAAAGCACTCGGCTGAGATAATCAATTTTTGTGCATTTTTTGCAAGTTAGCCCACCTTTTTTCGAACAGGCCGAGGAATGTTTGTCGATTGTCGATAACTAGAAGTTTATCCAAAAAATATTTTCGGCTTCAATATCTCATTACGAAATTAACTCTTATTCATTTTTCCAATTTTTCTTAGCTTTTTTTAAATAACTTCTTCTTCTTCTTCTTCTTCTTCTTCAAAGATAATCAGAGAGTCAACAACAGGTGATTACTCCAATCTTATTGGTAGAAGTTCAGGGCGAGCATGAAAATGTACAGTTTTTCTCTTTGAAAAACATTGGATCGCCAGGGATCAAGTTTGAAGATAATAGATTAAGTGCTTACTATATAACATTGCACATAATCTCTTATCCACAAATTTCATCCTTGACTAGTCAATATAAAACTGATTGACAAGTCGTTAGGTAGCTTACACTAGATATACAGAAAAATGCTAATAAAAGAACGTTTTAATCATTTCTAAACTTATCCTAAATTTCGCTTTTTGTGCAGTTTTGATTTTATTTACAAGTCTTTTTCTTGATTTTTTTTATTTATTTATTTTTTTTTTTGAAAATATGGTTATTCACGTAAATACTATCTAAAGCTTGTAGTGCAATGGTATACTGCGCACAGGACGACTTTGATTATGTCAACTAATGCCAACATTCTTTGAATCGATTTAAGTCTGCCAATCCGTCTGTTCCCCTGAACTCTGTTCGCCTATTTTTGTGTTCAATCTATAGGTCGTAATTATATCACTCAGCACTTGTGGTCGAGTCTAGATGTCAAGGCGTCTAGAACGCCTAGATGTTTCGAGTTTCTCATGTGGATACTCTGCTGTGAAGGCTTACGACTTACGGTCCGCAATCGGACGTGGAGTGAGAAAATGCACAATCAACGCAACGACCCGAAGATGATTAGTCCTAAGTTGGGATGGCCAAGTTGGGATACGTATCCCCGTGTCTGTTGAGAACGTCTAAAACCTCTACCCTTCTTTTTGTGAAGCTCCCGTTTGCAATGCGAGTAAGCCAGTTCTTCTTGCGCCCCCACTAGCACGGCCCCGCAATGGACCGTTCCCAATATCAAATTGAAGCCGGAAGATTGCTTCGGGAGAAGAGAGTAATAAAAAAGGAAATAATCACAGCCTCTAGTCAGATTTATTATTAAGCGATTCAGAAACATATTTTAATTTCGATTTTAGCACGTCCGTCCGTCTGTCCAATTAATTTCCGTTTAATTCTTTTCGTTGAAAATTTCATGAAATTTATTGGACTGAGGTAATTTTGTTATTAAAAATGGACACGTTTGAACCATTCTTACGGTCACTCCCCATTTAACGCCACAGTCGAAAGAAAAGCCATCGCGTGAAATAT